GGAAAACAAACCATAAAGATAACCGTCGAGAACGGCTACTCCGGCAGCACTTCGTTGTTTGGTCATTGCCTCACCCAACTCCCAAGTGTTTTTCTCGGGGCAATACACCTTAACGAGACATGGTTCATTACAACAACTATACATAGCGTATAATCTCTCTTCTTGGATACTTTGGTTTTCCTCCTCTCAAACATGGTGAGGAAAAACTGAAAATTAAGAAAAATGGAGATGGGGAAGAAGGGTGGGAAGCAACTAAAAATATAATGCTCTACAAAAGGATAACATCTACAACTGTAAAAACTGTATTGTGCGGAACTTTCAAAAGTGGGACGTGCGGCAATACGTTGGGAAGAGAAAGTGCAAGTCTCATTTAGGCTATTTCTGATAATAGTGCACCCCATCTGAAGGGCTTGATAACACTATAAATCACTAGCTATGAGAAATACTTACTATGTCAACTGTTAAAAAATAAACTGCATGAAAATTTTAGGGTGACTTACCTCAACCGTAGCCAAACTGGTAATGCCATCATAACCTCCGCAAACGTATAATTTCCCGTTGAAGAATGCTGCTGCCAATGCTGAGCGTTTCTTCGTCAGGGGAGCAACCTAGAGAAATTCTCACTGAACCATCGAAAAGAACTACAATTTGATGTCTTACTGGAGTCCATTCGTTCTTATTGTAGTCATAGGATTCCACAATCTTCAGACGGTCATGCCCATTGAACCCACCGATAGCATAGATCTCAAAGAGGGTAAATTCATCCGAACGATGCAGCAACTACAGAATTATCATACCTTGCGATCGTGCACTGCGATACCGACTCTAGAGCGGAAACTTGTCATAGATCGTACAGGAGTCCACCGCTTCGTTAATGGATCGTACATTTCCACCGTTGATAGGGAATCACCACCCGTCGACAGGCCACCTTAAGAGATGGGCGACTTTAGAAGCTAGATCGGTAAAGTGCGCAGGTTACCTATGGCAAACATCAGCCCTGGTACATCGTTGCAACAGCGGGCTTTGGTACGGAAAGAGCGTAGGTATGGCCTGCGTTCGGGTATTAGATGGTAGTCCTTGGCTTCGTCCACCTATGTTTGAAGCTTAAGCTTTACTAAATAAATCCACCTTGATATCTTACCAGATCTCGACATGCCAGATCTCCACGGATTAGCTGATGCCCCGCGACTTCGTCTGCCAAAAAGGATGGTTTCAGAAGTGGAAGGCGAACGCAAGCGAGTAATCTGCAAATCCAAAGTACGAGTAGCCAGAATTCGCCATAACTTTGCAGTCACACATATGATATAAAAATGGCCTTACTCGCCGTACTCCACAATAAATGTCTTGAATGAAGTACGGTAGGTATACAGTAGGTGGTACTGTAAGGTGGGTCACAAATGGCAAACCTAATTTGCGAGTAAAATGAGTGCCATTTCGAAGTAGTTAGTATGAATCTGATGCTCCTCAGAAGACTGAAGAACACATTTACATGATGCTATTATAATAACAATGCAGTCATTTTTATCACCGACATCTGCTGCACCCCTACCGTACACCTACAGTACCAC